ATCTGAGGTCACACGTAAGACATTTATTGAGAATTTAATCTAATGACGTGCGTTGCGGTCGCTGGAGGAAACCAATTGGGGAAGCTCAGAGATTTCAATGAAGTGCACAAGTCCTTGTTTACAGGAAAGGGTGCGAGACCTGTGGTTTGCATGAATACGATGCATTTTTAGTCAGGAAATCTAGCTTATATGTGTGTTTTTCTCTTTAAATCTCAAAAGATTTGATTAGACTGTATTTGTTTGAATGCTACATAGGACGTATATAAACTATGAAAACTATTTTCATTCATTGCCAAAGGGCCTGACGGTTGAATGAACTGAGACTAGGTTAAGGTTTGGTGTTTCCTGTCCTTAAACAAGTGAAATACAGGAAATCAGATAATATACCTGAGTATATCCTGTAGTTTGTGTGGATTGACCTGAAAGCTCGTTCACCCGAATGAATTAAAGGAAAAACATATTGTTCTCCGAGGTCTTGGCTGCATGGTTTTCTAATCAACATGATTCTTCAAGTGTTTTCTGACAGGCATTGAGCGGAAGTGCTGTAAAATGTCACTGAGAGTTTAAATGCATCTGAGAATGTTTAGTTGTTTAATGTCACACGTTTACACTATTATTTTACTTTTCAGCTCTTCACGTTTCATAATGATCGACTCCAAAACCACTGAAACTGAAAAGAGCAGCGAACCACAGACGTTTTATTTTCTCTTTCTGACTGCGTTTCCTCCCAGTTTGGCCTGTGACTCAATGGACTCCCTGCGGTTCGAGTCCCGTCCATGGAACAATGAAGAGGAAATTTACGTTTTGCCCATTAAAGCACACTGAACAAGGCTGGAGTGTTTTTATGCTCTGGCAGTGTTGACTTTCCCCGCAGCCGATTGGACGAGGTCAGGAAAGTCAAACCCTACGAGACTAACGTCCCTTCTCTCTGTTTTTGTCCAAGTGCGAGTCCCAGACACAACAGAACAGCGTTTTAACCTCTCGACAGTGAAGAGCACAACACAAAGACGGCTGAGGTCACACACCTGCGCCTCACGAGACCTCAAAGCGCCCATGCAGGTGTCTTCCTGTTTTTATTATGTGCATTTAATCCCTGTTTGCTTTTGTTGTTTTGAAATGTCTGATTGTATTGGTCTGCTATATGCATTCATTTTGGTGGAACCGGTTCATGTGCAAATATTGGCTTAGCCTTTTAAAAATTGCTAAATGGGGGTGTGAGGAACATTTTATCCCATATGGCCAAAAAAAAATAAAAAATAAATAAATAAAAATATATATATAGAGAGAGAGAGAGAGGTTACTTAATTTATTTCAAAATACACACACACAAAATATATATATATATATATATATATCAGAATATATTTACATAAATATATTTTCTACAAATGTATTTTTGGCCATTTTCTTGAAAATATATTTTTAAAAATGCATTTTTTTTAAGCATTTAAAAACATATTTTGCCTTCCAAATCACTTAAAAAATTGCTAAATGAGAATGTGAGGAACATTTTTACCTAAATGGCAAAAAATATATTTTCAAAAATGTTATAAAATATATTTCAAAATACACAAAAAATTATTTGCTTGTATATTTTCTAAAATATTTGTAATTTTTGTTTTACCAATATATATGTTGGGGCATTTTTTGTATATTTTTAAAAAATGTAAATACATTTTAAAAAAAATATTTAAATTTATATTTTGTCATATTTCAGTCCAAGAAAATGCATTCACCTACAGTGGGTACGGAAAGTATTCAGACCCCCTTCAATTTTTCACTCTTTGTTATATTGCAGCCATTTGCTAAAATCATTTAAGTTATTTTTTTTTCCTCATTAATGTACACACAGCACCCCATATTGACAGAAAAACACAGAATTGTTGACATTTTTGCAGATTTATTAAAAAAGAAAAACTGAAATATCACATGGTCCTAAGTATTCAGACCCTTTGCTGTGACACTCATATATTTAACTCAGGTGCTGTCCATTTCTTCTGATCATCCTTGAGATGGTTCTACACCTTCATTTGAGTCCAGCTGTGTTTGATTATACTGATTGGACTTGATTAGGAAAGCCACACACCTGTCTATATAAGACCTTACAGCTCACAGTGCATGTCAGAGCAAATGAGAATCATGAGGTCAAAGGAACTGCCTGAAGAGCTCAGAGACAGAATTGTGGGGTCTGAATACTTTCCGTACCCACTGTATGTCACACTTGAAGAAAAACTTTATTTGTTGTCTATAACGGAAAACTTGCCACTAAAAAACATTGTGAAATTCATTTTAGTATATGAAGGTTGAAACTAAATATATTTAAAATTTAAAAAAGATATTTAATTGAGCTTCACTGTTTACAACATATTTTTGCCCACATGGGATTGCTGAGATGTTTTGAAAAAGAAAATGCTTTGATAATTCATAATTATGACATAAAATGTTGACATTTTGAGATAGTAAGTCATTGATGAGATAAAATGTACTAAGTCATAATTATGAGAAGTTGGACCTGAGAGAAAAATTCTTGAGATAAAGTCATAATTATGACATAAAAAGCTGTCATTATAACAACAACAAAATAAAGACATTGAAAAGTTAAAATTAAGTGCAACCACACAGGAAAAATACTGTTTTAGTAATTCATAATATATATTTGAGCTTCACTGTTTACAACATATATTTAAAATATTTAATTGCCAGAAACAGCATTTGTTTTTTTGCTGTATGGGATTGCTTAGATGCTGCTCTTCCATAGATGAGACATATAGTGTTTATGTTGCATTTAAGTGTCACGTTTTGCTAAAATATTTCTCCCGTAAAAATAAAAATAAACGGTAAATTGTAAAAACAAAAAGTAGCACTATAGCACTGTAAGATGAATAGCCTTTGTGGAAGTATTTAAGAATGCAGTCTTTGGTGTCTTGAAGCATCTTACAATACTTGCTTGATTTTTAGATGAGGAAAGTCAGGAAAAAGAGCTGTAATCTGCGGTTTGTGTTTCTCATATGGGACAGGCCCACCGTTTTGGCACTGAGCTCTAAACCTGTCAGTTTGTAATTGCATTTCATAAAAGTCAAATCGTAACATCCGTAATCGGACTGGAAACTCTGTGAAATTCCCTCTGTCTTTCCAAAAGGCCTGTGTTTGTTGCTTGTCCCTGATCTGTGCGGTTAGGACGCTCTCGGGCAGATCGACTGATGCTGCATGAATAAACAGGTCCTGCTATGCTTGGCACATTCAAACCAGCCATTAAAATATTACCGTGGCTTTATTCACACTCCTTTTGGCGAGAATCAGAACGATGTCGTGGATGAGCAAGTGTCGAGTGAAGGGTGACGTACTGGTGACTTTTCTGTGGTGCAAATCAAATTTTGACATTTGACGACTTATTTCTGATTTGTCGTGAACTGAACGAGTGAACATTTGCTGAAAATGTACTAACCCTCATGTCATCGA